ATTATTGTCAGACACCATTACTTCCCGAACCATTGCTACCAGTCAGACACCACCACCACCACTAGCTGTTGAATCTGCCATGGGAAGTCCAAAAAACCCTACAAATTTTCTCTATTACCCATATTCGATCAACATCTACTAGAACGGAATAAGTGGTGGCTCAACAACTGGAGACCTGATCTAATCGTAGCCGCACACTACCCTCATCGAATCCTATTAAAACCCACCATTATTGGACCTCCATCACTGCTAATTTACACCTGCCGCCACCGACCCCTGACTCCGCTTCTTTCTCCTTCACTCCCTCATAGGCCTGATTGGATACGCCTATAACTCTATGTACTTCGTTTGCACGAGGCTTAATAAGGTGTTGTTATATGGTGGTTTTCAGCCGAAGTGGTGCTCAACGGTGCATATAGTGTTTTTCATGGGATGATAAAGGTTTATGGCGGCGTGTGAGTCTGTAACAGATGGAGATTGAAGTCATCGAGGTGATGAAGGTCATTGTTTTCAGTGTTGTTATAATTCAGTGGCATAAGAATGACGTTTTGTGTTGTATCTGGTAAGATGGTTGATGGTGGCTTTAATGGTGGTGAGCTCCATCGGTGATTGCAGGTGGTGTGACAGGTGTTTGTGGTGGTTTTAATAGGGTAAGGGGTTTGATATTGGCGAGACAAGGGAGAAAGGACGATAGGTATGGGGTCTGGCAACCTAATGTGTGGCAGATGTGGTGGCTGTGACGAACTGACAATCTAGGTGAACTCTGACAAGAATGGCGGTTGCCAACGGTGGTTCTAGACTCTGATGATGGAAGATGGAACTAGTAATGAACGAGTTTCTATCCTCCCATAAAGATAAGAAGGGGGATTGGTTTTGTTTTTGTTTTGAGTTAATTTATGTATTTCAATAATTAAATAAAATGAAAAATAAAAATTATAAGGGCATAATTGTTTTTTAAGTGTATAAGGACCAAAATCACTGAAAATACCCGAAATTAAATCATTAATGCCTCACCAAATTCATTTGGACCAAAACCATATAAGTTTGACCATCTTAAGTACCGTTTTATGTAATTCCGTCTATTTTAAAATTACTTACCCAGTGATATATTGCACCTATTAATAAAATATATAAATATATTGTAATTTTACTTTTAACACGTACTATATACATATTCACCCTTTGCTTAACATGATGTGTACTAGGGATGAGCGTGAGACAAAACTGGTACTGACCGGGACTGTTCTTGTTTTCTGGAAAATTAAATTTGATCGAAAGTCAATCCCGAGTACCAAACATAATTAACATTACCGATACCGAGAATGATATCATTTTGTGGTACTAGTAATGGTACCGATGGTACCGAATACCGAATTTCATGATTTTGGAGTACCAAGTACTATCACATATTTTTAAATTCGGTACGGTTCGATACCGGTTCCAGTACGATACCGAGACAAGATCGAGATTTGGTACAACCTGTTCATCCCTAATGTGTATTGTAACAATGAAGACTACCATCTTTTGAAGATTGTCCACCTCAGTTGCAAGATAATTAATATAAATATTGAAATACATATTAATCAGCTATTTAAATATTTAATTTCTCATTATATTTACACACTACAAAATAGGGAGGAACGTTTGGATCGAATACCTATCCGGAACCAAACCAAATTAGGATCAAATAAGCTACCCGGTTTGGTTTTTGGGTATGTATTTAAGTCTTATTCGGTTATCGAGTATTTCGGTTCGAGTTACCTGAATAACTGCTTAATTGGTTGTAACATTCGTGTTCCAGATTAAGTAAGCTTACTTTTATCAAGGAACAAAGATGAAGTTTTGGAGGAAACTTTGTGCCACAATGTGGTGCAAGGAAGCCCATGACATGGCAATAGTTAGAAGGATCACGTGTTTTATTTGGACTGACACGACATGGTCAAGGGTTGTCAAGGTGTGGCAGTTGTTCTGGCCCAAGCCCATGATTCTTTTAGGATTTGCTTCGTATTTAAACCCCTCTAATCTATTTTTAGGGTTCATTACCAGACTCCAACACCCTTATACCTCATACAAACCCCAACTCTGATTCACTTGGTGATTTGTGGCTTTTTTGGAGCATTTGATGGCTTTAAGAATAATAGAAGAGGAGAGGAAGGTGCTCTATAGTTGGATCTTGCAAGGAAGTAACACCATCAACATCTCACATTGCTTCTAGACCTTTGGAGTGTCAAAGGCTCAAACTTTATGGCTTAGAGTAGTTAAATCTAAGATATTGTCCTATTTGCTTCATGTTTAATCAAGTTTGAAAGGAAGGAACACATAAAGTTGGCAACTTTACAACTCTCCTGGTTCCCATGAGCAACATATGTTATGGATCTAGACTTTGGTTGGAGTTCTTGTCATTTACTTGAGTTTTGGTCTTTTTAACTCATTTTGAACTAAAATAGATTCTAAAGATGTATTGGACATGCATGCCCATAAAGATTTTATCTTTATGATAGATCTGGTATTAGAAAGCCTTTTGGAGTGGTTGGGTTAATGACTTTTCATATTAAGGGCTTAATGGTTAAGACATTGTAGTATTTTGCTTTATTTGGACCTAGGGTTGGAGATTTTGATCTATTTGGGTGTCTTAATGGATAAAGTTGGAAAATTTATCCATTTTGACCATAGAGTGGACCAAATTTGAGCTTTGGAGCTATTCGAATCGAAGAAAGCAACTTCATCTATTAAGCTGTTGGAAACTCAGTGCCCATGGCGTGGCCATAAGTCACCACAACATGGAGACTGGACAATGCCCGTTTTATAACATCCCAAAAAAAATCAATTCAATTCAAAAGTTTTTCAAACATCCAAAAGCCATTAATTATTACAAAATGTTTCAAAATATTTTTAATATCAGAGTATCCCATAAACCATAAGTCCAAAACATGATGATGTGTATGGTGACGCCTTCGCTCTGCCAAGACACTGAAGCACCTGAAACTATAAACTGAAACCGTAAGCGCAAAGCTTAGTGGGTTCTCCTAAAATACCAACGCCATAAAAATATAACCATATCATATAAAAAAATACAGAAAAGCATGCATAACGAGCCTTCAGCCTGACTGGACCACCTCACAGGGCTTACAAGCTATCTGGACCGCTCTCGAGCCTTCGACATGATTAGACCGCCTTGCAGGGCCTACAGCCTATCCAGACCGCTCACCATGTATTTTGGCCTACCGCACAAAGCAGGATCGCCTCAACCCAACCCCCAATCAAACAAACATATACACATAAATATCATACGCTAGCTCATATGATATAATAGTCAAACCAATCTAACAGATTAATAATCATAGCAACATCCCAAAATCCGGGATACAGACCTAATCGGTCACTAACATAGCATAATTTTATAATCGGGACATTGACCTAACCAGGTCACTAGCATAAGCATATCACCATCTTAACTACCAGAATGTAAACCAATACACATATCATGCCATGATCTGGATACAATCATAAAGGGTCGAAATTGGTACCTTAGACCCTACTAATATAGTGAGGATAACTCACCTGAAACTGCTGAAGTCCCGCATATGAAATTCCAGCTCCTAGTTGACAGATTCCTGAACCGCTAACATCAAACAACACCTAATTATGGCTCAAAGCCCAACATATGGCCCAATTTTCCAAATTAGGCCCAAGCCTTTACACGACCTTATTCAAAGGCCCAACCATTTAGTCCATTCCAATCATTTAGCATTTCTAATGGCCCAATATCTCATAATCATAAAGGCCCAAACTATAGCCCATCCATGGCCTAATTTTCCAAATTGGGCCCAAGTCCTTCACATGGGCCTTAGCCTAAAACTCATCCAATTATTTTGGTCCATTTACTTGTTCTTGGATAGCCCATCAATAGTCCAACCACCAAGGCCCAATAGGAAGATACAACTCAAGGCCCAAGTGAAATTAGGGTTCCCACATGAAATGACGATTTAACCCATTAAGGACTTAATCCATGTTGCGTTAGGTTAATTTGCCAATGATTATTAATTATTATTTTAGGTTTCATAATTAATTCCCGTGCTCTCGATCAATCCCAAAATTAGGGTTTCACAAAAAATGACAATTAGGGTTAAGTGAAGGAAGTGCTTCTCACTTAACCCATTAAGGACTTAATCCATTAACCAAAGGGCTTGTAGCCCAGCGGTATCAGGTGGTGCCCTCCCTCTTTGAGGTTGAGGGTTCAAGTCTCATTGTGGACATAGGTGGAATATGTGTTGTTAGCTTAGTGGTAGATTAGATTTGTCGGTTAAAAAAAACTTAATCCATTAAGTCCATCACTCTTCTAAATAAATCATATGGTGTGATTAGGCTTAATACACAGTTCCATTCCAATGGCCCAAATGTGGATCCCTATACGTCCAAGCCCATAAATCCAATATTAGGGTTTTCTAAACCCTAATTAGGGTTTCCAACCCCATCTTAGCCCAATAGGCCTAATAGATAGGTCTTCACTAAGGTTCATTAGGCCCATTAGGGCTTCACTAGGCCGATCAGTCTCATGTTTGGGCTTTTAGTTAATTTAGAGCTTTATTGGGCCCATTAGGGTTCCATTAGGCTCACTGGGTTTTATTAGTCCCTTTGTCCACATCCAAACGAGTCACAAACCAAACAAGGCACACCGCCACCCTACGGTGGTGGTTTTAGTTTTCTTTTCATTAATCCACTTTCTGATTACATTTTACAAGGCTTTAATTCCAAGTTAAACACAATAAAGACACACACACACACACAACCACCGTGTGGTGGCCTACGGTGGCGCGTTGTGGTGGTGGCCGTACTCGACTTTCCGTCTTGACAAACACACACATACACACACACACACACATATATATATATATATATACACACACACACACACACTTCAAACTGGATACAACACTCCAGCCACCCACCTGGTGGCTCAAGGCGTTAACATCGACGATCTTGGGATGGCAGCCACCACCTTACGGTGGTAGCGGTGATTTCTTTGGTTCCCAGTCAATAAGCCACACCCACGAAATAACACAAACCACACAGACTTGAAGCATCTGCACACTCACACCCGCGTGAAACACGAACATGACAGTCCTTGTGGCGATAAGCGATAACCAGAGCAACATGAGAGTTGCACAAGCGGCGATGGGTCGAGGCTGTAACATAGCACATGAGAATAGGAAGCAACGGTGGCCATTAGCGGCAGAAGATGACGGTGGGACCACCGTTGAAGTGGTAGCGGCGATGCTCAACAATAACCGCGTCATTTCGTCGATGTGAGCTATAGCGACAACAGTGGAGAGAAGCGGTAGGGTGGTTGCGACTTTGACGGCAGGAGGAGTAGCAGTGGTCTTTATCGGCCGGAGGATGGAAGTAAATGGGTGGTGCGGCGGCTGGAAGAAGGAGGCATATAGGTGGCGGCTGTCAGAGTGTTTACGGTTAGGGTTGATACCGGGGGTGATGGGTTTAAATACCCCGATCCCCTTAACTACTTCCCCTAATGCCAAAAGTAATCCCTCATCCCCCTGTTTCTTTCAAAATAAGTCTAATATCTACCATTTAAATCCCCAACATTAAAATCCATTACAACTTAGGTACAAAATTTACCAAACAGCCCCCTATCCTCCCAATTCTCTTCAAATGAAGTCCCACAAATTCCCATTTAATCCATGCCTTCAGTATTACTTATAAATTAAGTCCGGATTTTACACTTAAATCCCTGCCTTCTAAAATTATGAAAGTTAACTCCTTGAGACCAACACCTTGCTATACAATTATTAATTTTAGGGCTTTTATCTATTAATTAATTAATTTAATAAACGGGGTGTTACACGTTTGTTCGATTGTATGAGAGGAAGGATGTGGCCAAGGAGGGCCACTGTAACGACCCAATTTTCACATCAAAATTTTTTTTGTTTAAAAACGTTACTTTAGAAAATATTAATAGCTAAAACATCATTCGATCATCCATAATATAAACTGAACTATGTCCGAACACCAAAACATACAACTAATCAGAATATCAGAGTATCAATCCCAGAAAAGCTCGTAAATGCGGAAACCGAAGAGGGTGTGTGTGACATGCTGCTACCGCGCCGGCTCCTTTCCCCTAGCTGAGGAGGTACCTGAAACCAAAACTGAAACCGTAAGCACAAAGCTTAGTGAGCTCCCCCATAATATCCCATACCATACAAGCATCTAACAAATAACATGCAATTAGGAGATACGGGCCCCGCCCACACTCGTGAAGATACAGACCCCGCCCACACCTCACTTTCTGAGAGATACGGGCCCCGCCCACACCTCACTTTCTGAGAGATACGGGCCCCGCCCACACTCGTGAAGATACGGGCCCCGCCCACACTTCGCTATCTGGGAGATACGGGCCTAGCCCACACTCCATTCTCGGAGAGATACGGGCCTCGCCCACACTCAACCGCCAACTCATATCATACAAGTATCGCACAGACAACAAGTGTAAACAATTCTATCATACTGGCATATATCATAATCAACTCAACTAATAGATACGGGCTCGGCCCACACTATAATACTAACGTCTCATCTATACGGCCGGCCTTGGTGCCTTAGACCCGTTACTACTGGAAGGAAACTCACCTCGAAATAGCTGCTGGTCTGTGTGGGAATTGATCACCTACTACTGCGCTGCTGCTCCGGAAACTCCCCGGCTGTAATTCCCACAATATACTTAATCATATACTGCTAACTGTCCTTTGGGTAAAAAGACCATTTTACCCCTGGTCTAGCCCTAAGTCAAATCGAAGTCAACTTTTAGTTGACCCAACTCGCCGAGTGGATCTCCACTCGCCGAGTCCCTAGCAAACTATTGTCCTGGGTCCCTGATTCTACTCGTCGAGTTGGGCTATGACTCGACGAGTTCATCTTCTAAACTGTCATTCAACTCCTTCATCCTACTCGCCGAGTTGTATGAACAACTCGTCGAGTTCATCTTCATCCGAAGAACACATATGCTAAGACTCGCCGAGTTGTATGAACAACTCGCCGAGTTTGTTCTTGATCTATGAAGATTGCCTTGGACTCGCCGAGTCAGGGCATTGACTCGCCGAGTCCTATCATGAGTGAGTTCAGCTTCCAACTCACCGAGTCACCCCCTGTGACTCACGGCTCAACTCGATACATCTTAAAGGGACCAGTTCAGTGACTCGCGACCAGACTCGTCGAGTCACATATATGACTCGCCGAGTCGCAGCCATGCATCCATCAAATACACCGATTTGCTCGATTCCAGTCCATGCCATTCACAGATCTGGGCTTCTAGGACACAATTCACACGTAAAGTTTCCAACTTTACGTGTAGATATTCACCAATATGGATTTTAAGGCTCAAAGTGCACCAAAAGAGGTAGATCTAGGGCTTTCATGCAATATGACCCCATAAAGGCAATAGATCCAAGCTCCAGGGACTAAATCATGCCTAGATCTAAAGGCTAACAACTTATTATCACCCACAAAGCACAAACAAGCTTGGGGAAGAGCCCAAGAAGGACTCCAATGAAGCAAAAAGGGATTACAAGCTTGAAAACAGAGGGGAAACGAGCTATACCTCAAGGAATATGTTGAAATGACACAAAGATGCCTGATCTCCTTCTCCTCTTCTTGATCTACACCTCTTTCTCCTCAAAACCTTCAAGAACACACCAAGAGCACTTCAATCTCTCAAGGAATAAGGGAAAACGATGTTGGGGAGTTCTGGGGGTGAATGGGGACGAGTTGGGGCGGAATGAGGGTTTAAATAGGGTGCAAACCCTTGAAACTTAGGGTTTCATCCAGCAGCGGTGACTCGCCGAGTCCAGGATATGGACTCGCCGAGTCGCCCACTTAAACGTGTCCTGAGTCTCGTCCCTACTCGGCGAGTCGGACCTTATGACTCGCCGAGTCCAAGGCTAAAATAGGGCAATGCTCAAATAAAATTCACATACCGGAAACCAGGTGCTACAAATCTCCCCCACTTATTTTAGACTTCGTCCTCGAAGTCTGCTGCCCGGTCCTGAAACAGCTCGGGGTAATGCTCCATCATCTCGTCCATCGGTTCCCAAGTCCATTCCGAACCCTTGCGGTGCTGCCATTGCACCTTTACTAGTTCTACCCTCTTGTTTCTCAAAGCCTTTGTCTTTCTGTCAAGTATTGCGACTGGGCGCTCAATGTAATTCAAGCTGTCATCAACCTGAATATCCTCCAATGGTACTACTGCTGAATCGTCCACCAGGCACTTCCGCAGCTGCGAAACATGAAAGGTGCTGTGGATCTGACTGAGCTCGGCTGGCAGGTCCAGCCTATACGCCACCTTGCCCACCCGGGCTGCAACCCTGAACGGCCCGATGAATCTTGGGCCCAACTTGCCCCGCTTCCTGAATCGAATGACACCTTTCCAAGGCGACACTTTCAGGAGAACCATATCCCCGACTTGGAACTCCAAGTCGGATCGACGCTATCGGCGTAGCTTTTCTGCCGACTCTGTGCAGTCTGAAGTCTGCTCCGAACCTGCTGGATCCTCTCGGTCGTCTCTAGCACCACCTCGGTGCTTCCCATGACTCTCTGGCCAACTTCACCCCAACATATCGGGGTTCTGCACTTCCGCCCATACAACATCTCGAACGGTGGTCGGTCAATACTCGCGTGATAGCTGTTGTTGTAGGAGAACTCAGCCAAGGGAAGATAGGTATCCCAGCTACCACCGAAATCCAACACACACGCCCGCAACATGTCCTCCAAAGTCTGGATGGTCCGCTCACTCTGACCATCTGTCTGCGGGTGAAAGGCGGTGCTGAAATGCAGACGAGTGCCCAACTCGTCATGGAATTTCTTCCAAAATCTGGAAGTAAAACGCACATCCCTGTCCGAGATTACCGATACTGGCACTCCATGCCGTGCCACAATCTCCCTGATATAGATGTCGGCCAATTTTTCGGCCGATATGCTCTCCTGGATTGGAATAAAGTGAGCACTCTTGGTCAATCTATCCACGATGACCCAAATCGAATCCACTCCACGTGCGGTCCTGGGAAGCTTTGTGATAAAATCCATCGTGATATCTTCCCATTTCCACAGTGGGATGTCCAACGGCTGCATCTTGCCATGCGGTCTCTGATGTTCGGCCTTGACCTTCCTGCAGGTCAAACACCGCTCGACGTACCATGCCACATCCCGCTTCATGCAAGGCCACCAGTAATCCGGACGAAGATCCCTATACATCTTCGTCGCCCCGGGATGAATAGAAAATCGGGACTTGTGCGCCTCCTCCATCAAAATCTGACGCACGCCACCGTGATACGGCACCCACACCCTACGGTGTAGTGTCAAAAGTCCTCTGCCATCATAATCAAAGGAGGAAACCTGACCCACCACACGCTCGCTCTTCCGATGCTCCTCCTTGATAGCCTCCTGTTGAGCCTCCCGAATCTGCTCCAATAGGGGAGTCACCACGGTCATCCTCAAGCAAACGTCCCTGATCGGCACCGTCTTGCGGCTAAGCGCATCGGCCACCACATTGGCCTTCCCCGGGTGGTAAAGGATCTCGCAATCATAATCCTTCACCACGTCCAACCACCGCCGCTGCCTCATATTCAGATTCGGCTGGTCCATGAGGTACCTCAAACTCTTGTGGTCCGTGTAGATGGTACACCGAACCCCGTAGAGGTAATGTCGCCAAATCTTGAGGGCAAAGACCACCGCCCCCAACTCCAAATCGTGCGTCGGGTAGTTCGCCTCGTGAGGCTTGAGCTGCCGCGAAGCGTAGGCAATGACATGCCCCCTCTGCATCAGAACTGCGCCCAACCCCGAAATGGACGCATCGCAGTAAACCACAAAATCCTCTACGCCCTCAGGCAGGGCTAGGATCGGCGCCTCACACAATTTCTGTCTCAGCATCTCAAACGCAGCCTGCTGCTCGGGTCCCCACCGAAAGACCACGGCTTTCTTCGTCAGTCGTGTCAGGGGTACGGCTATCTTGGAGAAATCTTGGATAAATCTCCGATAGTAGCCTGCCAATCCCAGGAAGCTCCGAATCTCAGATGGAGACTTCGGGACCTCCCATCTCATCACGGCCTCGACCTTGGCCGGATCAACCAGAATCCCGTTCTGGTTGACGAGGTGTCCAAGGAATTGCACCTCGCGCAACCAAAACTCACACTTGGAGAACTTGGCATACAAGCTCTCCCTCCTCAGGGTCTCCAATACCTCCCTCAGATGCTCCTCGTGTTCCTCCCGAGTCTTGGAATAGACCAAGATATCATCGATAAAGACTATCACAGACCGATCCAGCATCGGTCTACACACGCGGTTCATGAGGTCCATGAACGCGGCAGGAGCATTGGTGAGCCCAAACGGCATCACCACGAACTCGTAATGACCATAGCGCGTCCGAAACGCGGTCTTCTGCATATCCTCCTCCCTGACCCTCATCTGATGATAGCCCGAACGCAAGTCAATCTTGGAGAACCAAGATGCTCCCTGAAGCTGGTCAAATAGGTCATCAATCCTCGGAAGCGGGTATCGGTTCTTCACCGTTACCTTGTTCAGCTCCCGATAATCTATACACATCCGATGCGACCCGTCCTTCTTCCTTACAAACAGAATCGGGGCTCCCCAGGGTGAACTGCTCGGACGAATAAATCCCTTGTC